AATGCTTCTGAATTTCAACTGGCAAAAGTGAGTGAATGTGATGTGATTCTCTTAAAACCGGGACAAATCGTTTCAAAATTCGTGGCCGGCCGATCAAGTTGGTTTGGTCAAACAAACGAAAAAGCCGAACGGCTGAGAAATTTTTCATTGTTACTGTCAAGAGAAAGAAAAGAAAAAACGCTCAACATTAATAATATTAGTTGTTTGATGTGAAACTCATAGAGTCTTATCCCCAAACGAATGAAAAAACAACGACAATATTTCATAAAGAGAATTCGAAATTTTTGAGACCTTTCTCTAAGGAACCGAGAAATAATCGCACAAAATACCAACTAAAACAAGAAGAAATTGCTTCAGCGAATTGACTGAGTCAGCTTTGAGCAGTGTAACTAAATGTTGGTTGATGTGTACAAATGAACTCGAAAACGAATTGAAGAAGTTCGATGGGAAAGAAATGAAATTTGAACAAATAAGTTGAAGGAGACACTCACACACACAAATAAAAAGCAAAGAGATTCAAAAAACTCGAAATTGATCGGAAAATGATTGTACTTACACTGAGATCTAATAGTGTATCGCGCATGTTGTTTCAGTTTGTAAAGAAGATAAACACGATGTCGGTTCAAAGGAGAAGCACTCTCGATAGTGCGACAGTGATAAGATAATGCCGGAATGATAATTGGTATCAGAAGCTCGAGAAGAACGAGATGAAGATATAACTGAGTGAGGAAGTATCTGATTGGATTAGTTTACAGTTGATAACCGTTACAGAACTCGCTGGCACTTGAGCGCTTGAGCGAAGAGTGTAATCTAAGCAGCGTTTGATATGGAAATCACAAAACCAAACTAAAACTGTTTGTGGAAAAGTTTCGTCGTGAGGCGGTGTTTATATAGTGGTGAAATATTGGAATTGATGGATGGGTGGATGGATTGATGACGATATAAATATCAATGATGAAANTGATCAGAGTAAAATGTGAAACGATGTTGACAACAGTTATGATGTACTGAAACATCACACAATGAGAAATGAGCAAAAATTAGTTTGAAAAAAAAAAGAAAACGTTTTTAATATCTCTCATTTTCAATCTTTCCCCTTCAGCACACATTATCAACGTTCATCACCAATAAAAAATCGTATATTCTATCATTATTTAAACACAAACAAGACGAATAGTGTGTAGAATACATAAATAATGCACACCATCAAATCACACCACACTAAATCGCAGCAAATAGATAGATAAAATTAGGCATTAATCATCCCGTTCGATCGCCAACAACAGTACAAAGGTACATCTGAGTTTCGAACAAAAGAAAACAAGAAATGAAAAACAATCAGAGAAACATGTTCGTTGAGTTTAATTCTTGAGCTCTGATGTCTTCAGGACACCTACTGCTGCTTAACTGCCTATACAGTGAAACTGACTGTTTTATGCTTTTTCATTTTTTGTTTATATTGATCTGATTAATTCAAGCTGACGTTGTTCCATCACTGAAATTAATTGTTCGTTCAGAAGTAATATTCCTTTGGATACA